TACAAAGCAAGACTTAGTTATTACCGTTACTACGTAGTTTAAGTTTTCAATTTTCTTACGTGTTTGAGCATTGCTAATAAATTGCACTAAAATTGCTTTCATAATGGTACATTCCTGTGGCAAGTGTGATTCAAAATGCAAGTCTGGGATTGAATTAATGTGATAAAAAAAATTATTAAAAAAGATTGGGTTTTCAAATAGTATATAAATGTACAAAGTCCTATACCAAATGCTCGAATACCATTCCATTGAGTTTTCATATTTAAAACGAGTATAGCCAATCTTTTTAAATAAATAGTATAGCCGTCCGGCTATACTCCTTTTAAAGATAATATATTTAAGAGTATAGTCGGGCGCCGAATTGCTATGCGGGTCCTCTTTCATTTTTTATTTTTACATAAATCGTATAGCTCTGCAGCTATAGTCTTTTGAAATATAATACGCTGAAAGAGTACGGCCAAGCGGCTAAACTACCTTTTTTATTATTTAAAAATAGTATAGCCGCGCGATATGGGTTTTGTTTTTTACAGTATAGCCAAGCGGCTATACTTGAGATTTTTTATAAAAATCGAGTAGAGCCGAACGGCTGTACTAGGGTCCTTTTAAAAAAAAAAAAAAAGTATAGTGGCTATACGGCTTTTAAATAGGGAGTTTCACTAAAACACCCAAAATATGAGCTGAAATTATAAAAAAACTCAACACCCAAAACACTTTATAAACACACCAAAAACTCATCATTACACACACTCAAAACCCATTTATAAACACACCCAAAAAATATACAATTGTTTACTTTGTGGTTGATTTTAGGTGTATTTCTATGTTTAAATAGTGTTTGAGTTTTTTTATAAATACATGTCTAGAATTGGGTTTATTTATAAATTTGTATTTTAAATATTATATGCTTAACGGGTATAGCCGCGCGGCTATTTTGGACACGAAGATGCCGAATCACTACAAAGCAAGCAAGCTAATAAATAACCGATGAGGACTTTTGAAAGTTTGAGAATTCAAATGAGGGTTAAGGGTCATATTGATTGATTTGAAGTTTGAGAATTCAAATGAGGACTTTTGAAAAATTCAAGGATCATTCATGACAAAAACCCTTGACAGTATCTTTCTATTCGGAGAGGCTGCATTTGTTGAAGTTTGTTACCTACGATATACCATGTGACATAGTGTCAAGCATTCAGGTGGGACACTTCTAAACCCCTATGTCAAGCAAATAATAACCTCTCACTTTCCATCAATTTCATTTCAGTAATTCTAATATATTTTTCTCCCAAAAACATCAAAGTCAAGGAACCCCTTGATCAGAGAAAAATCTACGAGAAAGCTGTGCATACTAAAAAACAAACAAAATCAAATTAGTTTTCCAGTCATGTGCATTGAGTTGAATGGGTCCTTGCTTCAATAAGAAATCGTGTTCTTGACTCATGGGGCATAATAATAGGAAGGCGACAACGGCATTCAAGTATCAACCTCATTTCACTAAAGTTTTTAATTATATATAAGATACAAATTGACCAATTTGCCCTCAGAGTGCCCACATGGTATCTTTTAACTGTGAAATAGTTGGAATGTAAGGAAATTTAGCACTAGAGGGTAGATTGATTTTTAAAAAAAAGTTTGTATCCTGAATTTTCTGAAATGAAAAAACAATGGGCAAAATGAAAGTTATGTATAAGTTCAAAGGGAATACCCGATTTTTTTAAAAAAAATATATGAAGAAATAGCTTTCATTCAACTACAAAAGCAAGCAAGCTAATATATTACCGATGTATTTTGCGTTGATAAATTAAAAAATTAAGTTGACTATTAATTTGAGGTGTAAGAATCAGTTCTTACACAACTTAATCAAGAGCACAAGCAAGCAAGCTAATATATCACCGATGCTCTCATACCTGTTGATTTTGGCACAAGGAATAATCAAAGGCTTCACATAGCCTTTTATTGAACATCAATGGCGGGAATCAATGGGAATTGGGGATGAAGTAATCAAATGAACGACAAAACAAACCATCAATAATGCCCTCACTTCCATCCATTTTATTTCATTAATTCAGTCCAGCAAATGCAAAATTGACATTTAACTACAACTATAAAGAAGGAGACAAAGACTTTGACTCCAGTCATTGTAAGAACAACCACTGAAACAAAGACTTTATTACAATTCTAATAATGGCAGCAAGCTCACTTAGGCATTCAAGTGGGTGGGACACCTATGTCATGCATATGGTCATCTCTCACCTCCATCAATTTCATCTCATTATTTCATCCAGATAAGTTATTTTGTCAATTCTTAGTTAAAACCAATGAACACGCTCATTTTAAGGTCTCTCAAACTCTCAGTAGCAACCAAGTCAAGTGATAAGGACAACGAATATACAAGTGCAGTCACTATCTTGACTCATGGGTCATAATAACAAGAAAGAGAAAACGGCATTCAAGTATCAACCTCATTTCACTAAAGTTCAGCGACAACATGCAAACTTAACAATTTTAACATTACAGATAACAGACAAAGACTTTGACTAAAGATATGCATGCTTCTTTCCTATTTTCCAATGTGTCAGGGTTCTAATATTTTCTTTTTAGAGAAATTTTATTGAGACCCAACAATCCAAATAAGAAAAAATATAAAATGAACAAATCTATAAAAATAAAATAAACAAAAACAAATACAGATAGAGCAACAACCTCAACCCCCGACTAAACTGTTGAAATCCGTGTGAACTTGTGCCTAACTTTCATTTTACTTAATTATTTTTTTATTTAAAAAATTAAGGATATAATTTTTTATTTGTTTTAGCCTATCTCCTCCTTACCGTTAGCTGTTCTAAAATTTCATCACTTTAAAATGACCAAGCATAGCCCTCGGAAAGCTGTGCAGAACTTGAATACGTTCCAAGATATGGTAACCCCATATCTATGCATAATATTACTCGAATATACCCAAAAAAAAAAAAAAAAAAAACTTGTTTTTCTTTCTGTTTGATTTGTCATAGCTGAGTGTGATCTATGGTTTATAATCCAACTGGGTAGTTTGGAGAGTGGGAAACAGTATTCTGAAAAACAAAGAATGTATTTTCTCTATTTATGTTATAATTCTTTTTTATTGTGTATATATTTGATCTTATTTTATTTTTCAGTTTTTAATTGTTTATAAGGTACAAATTGACCAATTTGCCCTCATAGTGCCAATGGACCTTGACCTGCAACTGGCTGCTGGAAGAGAAGCTTGGCTCAACAGTCTACACACAACTTAATTAAGAAAACCAGGCGCAGGTTCTCACACAACTTAATCAAGAGCATAAGAAACAGGCTCTCATCTCATGTCATACCATGTGACATATAGTGCAGTGGCAAGCATACATGTGGGAAACTTTTGAACCCCTACTATATCACGCAAATAGTAATTAACCTCAAAAACATTAAAGTCGTGGAACCCTTGATCAGAGAAAAGTCTATGAGAAAGCTGTGCATACTAAAAAACAAAAATTAGTTTTCCAAGTCATGTGCATTGAGTTGAATGGCTCCTTTAATAAGTTATCTTGTTAATTCTTAACTAAAACTGATGAACATGCTCATTTTAAGGCCTCTCAAAACTCTCAGTAGCAGCCAAGTCAAGTGATAAAGACAACGAATATTATAGGTTTCCATTTAAACCATGCAAATCTCCAAGTTCAACCAACAAACATGTTTTGCACATTAATGTCTTAATTATTTATGACAAATAAAATTGTAGAAAACAAATTTAACCTCAATTGCGTTGTCTTGGCCAGCCTCTCTATATGAAATTTTATTAATAGGATTAAACTTGAATTTAAATGTGTTTTAAAAAAAAATTATTGTTGGGTGAACTTGATTATTTACATGGTTTTAAAACATCTATAAATAGAAATTGTGTTCTTCACTCATGGATCGTAATAATAGGAAGAATACAAGTTCAGCGAAAACATGCAAACTTTCCAATTTTAACATTATAGATAACATACAAAGACTTTGACTGAAGATATGTATGCTTCTTTCCTATTTGACTAAAGATATGTATACCCACACACACCCAAAAAAAATAATAATAATAATAATAATAATAAGATTGTTATTTTTCTCTCTGTTTGATTTGTCAGAGATGAGTGTGATCTAGGGTTTATGGTCCAGCAGCATTAAATTATAGGGAGTCACGAGGAGTCCTTTCTCTCTCTTCGGATTTATGAGCTGCTAGAGGTTATCCTATTTTAGGAGGTGGATAGGGAGCATGGTTGGAGATGTATTTTTTCAAATTATCCCTAAAATTTGTCTAAGGAGGTGGTTTCTCAACACGTGACATGTATCTATGGGGATAACAATAGTTAACTTTTTGATTTGTATTTGTAGAACCATAATTATACCCATAGACACATGTCAAGTGTTGAAAAGTGTAGTAATGATACACCTTAGATTAAAGTGGTGAACAAAAATGCTCCCCACCTTTTCTTGTTTATAATTTCTACGTAGTTTCCACTAAACAAAAGCTCATTTTGTTTGGCCACATTAATTAATTAATAAGTTGGATAGATCATGTTTCTAACTACACACGTAACACGTTTCGTCTCTCTCTCTTTCTACATCAATAGCTCATAGCTTGGCTCAAGGCAAATTAGAGTAATTGATTAATACTAATTAACTTAGGGAGCTAATTTTCCCACTCTCATTTTCTCCAGTTACACTCCCTTTTGCTTTTTAATTACTTTTGTTCTTTCTCTTTCCTATTCTATCCTTACCCTACATTAATTTCTTTTTTACTTCACTTTTATATTATTTCTTTTTCTTTATACTTAATTTTCTAACTTATACTCCTTTTTCAGTATTAAAAAGGGAAAAAAAAAGTTAATTTCTTACTCGATTAAAGGAAAAAAAATATACTGAAAATGTAGTGCAAGTTGGAAAATTAAGTATAAAGAAAAAGAACTAATATAAAAGTGAAGTAAAAAGAAATTAGAGCAGAATGTAATCTCTTAGGTCAAACGTTTAAACTGGGTTGAGCTTACTATCCTGGATATATCCTTTGAATTCATTGGATCTTTCCCAAAAAATTGCTCAAGTTCAATTTTTAGAGCTTCTATCTGTCAAGTAGACATGGTTTCAGAAAAGTAACCTGAAACATATTGAAGTGTGACGCAGAGGCTAAATAGTCGCATGCGCTCATGCATGCACACGTGTGGTGAACCTTCCTCTTTTGAGGAGAATGAAAATTCTTTGAAACCATGTTGAGGTATCCAACCGAAAAGGTCAAGGTATTAGATGGAGAGACTAAATAAGCGTATAGCCACATGAGACAGTTTGCCTATGTAATATGAGACCAATGTGTAATAAAACATACAAACTTTTTTTATTCACAATTTTAAGTTTTCCTAGGGGGGAGCATCGTACCAACTTTGGAGCAAAGTCTTTTGTAGTGATAATGTAATCAACACCGATACAAGCTTGTCCATTGTTCAATGCCCATTTCCCTGCTATTATCCTCCTAACTGCAACCTTAAAAGTTTAACACAAACAGTTAAAGCCAAGCCTCAAATTTAGATGAAACTGTAATTCATGTTGCCTGATAAGAGAACCAATTACTTGTAAATCGACATCTGAATGGACAACAGCCGGGGACTTTCCACCGAGTTCTAGAATTACAGGTGTAAGGTGTTTTGCAGCAGCAGCCATCACAATGCGCCCTATTCTTGCACTACCTGTACGGTATACAAATACTCCGTCAGTATGTTACTAGCTAGTTAGGAGTCAACCAACGCACGAAGCAAAGAACTATGTAAGAAGAACGCTAAATATATGTATACATATAGTGTAACCTTCTCTTGCCAAACTTCTTTTACCAGATTTTGAATTTGAACCATGCATTTCTGTATGTGACTTGTCATACTTAGAATTAAAACGTAAAGTTATTACGTATTAGAAAAGAACTATGAACTTACCTAGGACTGCAAATGTTCACTAACTCATGTTCACTCACTGATACACGGCACACAACTAAGAAAAGCCTACCAAAATAAGGGCCAACCTTTCATGTAATGAATCGCAAGTTCGAACTATGGAAACCTCTACGTTCAATGTAGATAATACCTCCAAGTAGTGGTGGCAAGGGTAAAGCTATGGTGCAGAAAATCATATAAAATTAAAAATAAGATTCTGGAAGCATCACAGAAATTGATAATGAGGTGCATATCTTTTACCCTGAGTAGTGTAGTATATGTCACTACAAGCCTATTAAAAAAAGAACTCATATAAAATTGAGGAGGATCATCATTTGAAAGATTGATAACCTGTATAGAGTATCTTATCCCACTTCTGCTCTAAAAGTGCAGTTGTTTCTGGAACAGCCCCCTCAACAACTTTTACAGCTGAATTATCTAAATACTCCTCTACTAATTTTGCAAGAATTGAAGACGTAGCTGGAGCAATTTCTGAAGGTTTTAGCACAACTGCATTGCCAGCTGAAATAGCTCCAATGACAGGATCAAGAGATAACACTGGAAAATAAAAATAAAACAGCACGTGTTATAAAAAGACATCAATCTATATGAACAATTTGGTGGGGAAGCTTCGACAAGGTGACAAGTATGCAACTTGTGATCTGTATAACTAGCTAGTTCTGAACTGTGCTGCAACGTATTAACATACAGAAGGGAAAGTTCCATGTTGAGATGACCAACACAACTCCTAGAGGTTCTGACACAATTTCTGCTGATGATGGAAATGTTGTAATTGAAGTGTTGACCTGAAATGCGCACCAACAAATTTACTTTATATTTCACTTATTATAGTAAATATTGGAGGATATATTGGTCCGGAAGAAGAGTGGATGAGAGGACTTGTCATCCTTGACCAAAAGGATATTTACTCTAATCACCTTTTGGGGAATCATCCACTGTCTCAATTCTTTCAGTGCCTCGTTACATGAGGATTTTGCAGTAACAATCTGCATTAATAAAAAATCCATATTTATTAGTACAATGCGAAATGAAATACACAAAAATATTTATGACAAATTTATTTACAGTGAAAACATTGTGTTAAACAATGGGGTAGTCCCACTATAAGCCTTAGAGCCTCTGAATAGGAGTCAAATTTCTACAGCATGCGAACATAAGGGGAATTAGAAGCGTATATAGCACACTGAGCTTCAGGTCGAAACAAGGCAACAAATATGCATGCCATCTCCTGAGCATTTATGGGGACCATGCCATCCTTAGCGTGGATGAAAGGCTCATTTATGATGTTTTCTGGATTGTGTTTCCTCAAAGAAAGTTTTCTGAGTAACAAGAATGTTTATATGTGTCATTGCATGAGCAACGACGAGCCAGGACTGCTTGGAGTGTAATTTCTGGTTTGGAGAAAAGGTTTCTCTGCTTTCGTTCTAAAATTCCTCAAATTTCCCTGAGTTCTTAGGTGCACATTTACTTTTGCATTCTTAGAAGTCCTTGTTAAGAATACTGTACTAGATTCCTAGCTCAAGATCGCACAAACACAACTTGACTTAGTTTCAAAAAATGCAGAAGAAACAAACAATCAACAACAATGTAAGAGTTTAGCAAACCCCAAACCAAATTAGGCCAATAGGTGATGACAATGACAATGGTGATCCACAAAGACACCAGATTTTGCCCTCAGTTCGTCTGTCTCAACCCTATAAGAGAAAAAACACTAAATTCGGTAACTGAACCCAAAACAAAGGCTAAGACTCTAAAGGACATATATAAATAGCCTTCTTAAAACCCTAAATCACAATAGAGAATGTCATACAGTCAAACTAGGAGAAGGAAATAGATACCAAAAATTGCTAAAGAATATGTCAAATCAGGAGAAGAAAATCAGAACCCGCACCGAATACTTAAGCCCACGAGTCCAGGCTTGAGCTACAGAAACATTTCCTCTGGATGCTCAAGCCTACACTTGACATCATCACTAATACAACAACTTTCTACATATAATAAATTCTGAGGACCTTGTCAAGGCTCAAATTGGTTTTTCTCTGTGCCCTCGATACATATAATAGATACTATATCTCATTGACAGACACATATCAATGTCCTTATAGCCTCTAGAATAGATCGATGCGGGACTGTAACACATGCTCGTATAATATGCATACCAACATAATTGGGGTATCACATTGACAGATACTAAATCAGTGTCCCAGTAGCCTCTAGAATAGACCTTTGTTTTGCTTTTCAGATTCACAATTGTAGTGTATGATATGAACAAGCACTGGAAAACACACTGGGAATATTATGTACGAAAAACAAAGGAAGCAGAACTTATTTAATCAGCAGCATGGAGAAAAGGAAAAGAATGAGACCTCGGATATAAATGCTTCGACTTCAGGCTTCGAGAGGTCCTTGTAAAGAGCTTCAGTAATCTCTTTCTCTTTCTCTTCAAGCATCTTTGCAATGTTCTCCAACTGTGACATTCTCCACTCATAGCTTTTCGTCCTACCCGAATTGAAACTGTTCCGCAGCTCCTTAACTAGCTCGCCAGCTTTGTCAGGATTGAATGTTTGCTTTTCTTCCACCTCCGAGGTTACAGTTGATAGAGTTGCAAAGCAAGTTTTAGTACTGGAAACAGAAAAAACAAACAAAAATGATGTAAGAAGAAGAAACTTACTTGAGAAATGATAATATTTACAAATTGAACGAAATGAATGCATGTTTATGGACAAAAAGAGATCTTACGAGTAGGAAGAGAATGTAAGTTTGGTGGAGGGCAGATGCGTCTGATAGTTGGTTCTCTGAAACCTGTAAGTTAAAACTCTGCTGCTCCTAGTACCCGCCAAACTGGTTGCACTGTAATTAGAAGAACAGGAAGCAAATTAAAATGAGTATTTCCAATTAAATTATAAGTAGTATTCAGTAATAGGTAGCTAGCTTGCAAGGATAATTAAATTTTTGGCTCTTCAAGGAATTAGGAGGCAGGACAATAAAAATTGAGAACAATTAAAATTGAAACAAACAATATAACTTACACTGTCACTTGTGGGATCATTTGAACTCAATTAATGCATCTCTACATTAGAATATAATGATAGCAAAAGAAAATAATGGATATAATAATGACTTTAATTAATTTGAACAGTAGATAGAGTAAGGAATAAGTAAGAGTAGAAGAAGAACCTGCAATTCTTAAAAAGATCAATGCATAGGCTTTTCATGGTTGAGAGAGAGAGAGAGAGAGAGAGAGAGAGAGATTCAATGGCTAGCTAGCTGATGGCTGTTTCATCAATGGCAGTGTCTTTGAAAACTTTGAAAGTATAAAGCCGCACGCAGGAGGGAAGAAGCCCCACATGCAGGGAAAGGGAAAGCAGAGTAGTACGTGCATATAGCAGCTAGGTGAAGGACCGCAGGGACCAGCAGGCACAGAGAGAGCTGATAGCAACATTACGAGCAAATACGACGCCTTCTCTGCCGCTGAAAAGAGAAGCGGATAATGTTTCAGAAACTTGATTGGTGGGTGGGTCTAGGAAACGTGCATCGTAAGCTCTCATAGGCTGAGTCGGGCTACAAAATAGGGGCGGGCACAATCCGAATTGGATCAGTTTTGCCTGAAAACTACGGTTGAATCAATTACAATATAACAATTTGGTTCGGTTCAATTTTGATAAAAGTCATGAAGAAAACCAAACCAAATTAAACCAATTTAAGACGATTTGGTTATGCTGGTTTGAGCCTAAGCCACATTCTCTTTCTTTTTGCAATTTTTTCAACATTCTTAACCCAATTACAACCAACAAATTCACAATTTGTTCCATACTTAAATTATTTTCTAGAGTACGAAACAATCCTAAAGCTCAACATGCCATAAAACTTCAAATTTCAATAACTAATATAGCTTAATTCAAATATCCATATATAATTATTACCTAATTAGAAATAAATATACACATAAATGGTCTGGTTTGATTTTGATTGGTTTACAAAAGTTCAAAACCAAACCAAACCATATATAGTTTGGTTTGATTTTTAAACTATTTGACTTTTTCTTGGTCAAAATCAAACCAAACCAAACCGATAATTACTATTTGATTCGGCCGAATTGATGCCCACCACTACTACAAACTCCCTATACTAGTGTCACTGCACTCGAGAGGCAATGGCAAGTCCAAGCAATATCGGATTCATGAATTTTACTCTCGACGGTACACGTGTAAAAGCTCACAAATTTTTGTTTTAAAAAAAAAAAAAAAAAAAACCTGTAAAAAGATGTGTAAAA